GTGATGAGTCATTATCATAAGCTTTGGGGAAAGTCAGTGGTTGTTTTCAGAGAGCACAACCAACAATGATTCTTCTCCTCTTAGTATTTAGTATTCGTTCAAATGTAGTTCAGTGTAGGAGATGGTGTCAATTCGCAACAGATTTGCGCTGTAGTTTCTGAGCATATTCGCAGTGTCGTGTAGAATCGCAACAGGCTGGGCAGGTCCTTCAGTAAAGGGTTGCTTTTATTATGTAAGCCAATGGAGGACTGATCTGTCAGCCAGCTGCCTCCATCTCAATCTTGGGCTCAGGTGCTGATGGTGTCACTCAAGAGAGGTGCTGTGTTACTGCTGACGTTTAATTTGCAAGAACAAAGGGTGGATTTATTGGTGCCTGGCAATCTGAGGTCGGACGCATTTTGATCTTTGAGAAATCTCACTCTGTGCCTGGAAATATCTTTGGTGTCTTATCATGCTTGAGGTCTGTCACAGCTCTCGATATCACGCTCTGCAAACAGGAGTGTGTCCTAGTGGTCGATAGCCGGAGGCCCAGTAGCTCCTAGCAATCCAACGAGTTAGGAATGGGTCGTGTGGCAGCTGGTCGTCGAACCCTTTCTGTTCACCGTGCTGCGTACTCATCCGGCATTAAAACGAGGCTCTGCTCTCCCCCCAGACCGTACTTCACCTACTGGATCACCTTCGTCCACATTGTCATCACCCTGCTGACCATCGGCACCTACGGCGTGGCCCCTGTGGGGTTCGCTCAGCATGCTACAACAGAGTTAGTAAGTCTGCTGCCAGCGCTTGGCTTTTTAGGTGCTGAACCGTATTTTTTTAAAATCCTTTCTTCTGCTAGCCAGCCCTCTCATTCAACAGTCTTGACGTTAAGGATCAGGTCTCAATTGTACTTGGGAAAGCGGGAGCCCATATCCATACCTGCGGCATGCAGCTGCTAAGAGCTGCCAGCAGGCATCTCTGGAGCCATTACTGTGTAACACCTGTTTAGTGACGCAAGGCAGCAGGAG